GGCTCGCAGGCCCTTTAATTCCAGCATTTGGGAGGCCGAAGGGCGGATCACGATGGTCAGGCAGATCGAAAACCATTCCTGAGTTAAGCACGGTGGAACCCCATCTCTTACTAAAAATTAAAGAAACATCTAGCCAGGCATGGGTGGTGGGCGCCTGATAGTCCCAGCCACTTTGGAGGCTGAGGACAGGCGAGATGGCCGTGAACCCAGGAGAGCGGAGCCTGCAGGCTGAGGCCGAGACTCGCGCACTGCACACTCCAACGGAGCGGCAACCAGAGTAAGGCTCCGTTCTCAAAAAAAAAAAATGTAGCAGGCATTGTGGTGTGACCGTGGTAGGGTCCCAGCTACTCCAGAGGCTGAGGCAGAAGAATTGCTTTAACCTGGGAGGCAGAGGTTGCAGTGAGCCAAGATTGCGCCACTGCACTCCAGCCTGGGTGACAAAGTGAGACTGTCTCAAAAAAACAAAAAAGAATCTACTTCAGGAATCTAGGGAAAAGGTGAAAGTGGCCTGAACTGGTGGGATGAAGAAAAAGAGACAGATTTGAGAGACTTAGGAAGTAGCATGAACAAGATGTGAAGACTAATCAGACATTAGTAAAGGAAAGAGCAATCAATACAAGAAAAACACCTAGGTAATAATTACATCAGCTAATATGCTTACAATGTGCCAGCTCTGGACTAGGTGCCTCACATGAACTAATCAAGCCATTATGACAATTCTACAAGATAGATATTGTTATCACTGCATTTATTTTTATTTTATTGAGACAGGGTCTTGTTCTGTCACCCACCTGTAGTCCCAGCTACTTGGGAGGCTGAGGCAGGAGAATTACGATGCGGCCGTTTGCTGGGATCACGGAGTAGGGACGGACCATCCCTGGCGTAACAGTGGGTGAATAACCCTGTCTCTATTAAAAAAAAAAATACAAAACGACTGCCGCGAGCGGCCTGTAGTCCAGCCTCGGGCGCTGAGGCGGGAGGAAGGCGTGTGAACCCAGGAGGCGGGAGTTTGCAGTGAGCTGAAGATCCGGCCACGGACTCAACCCTGGCGGCAGGCGAGACTCCGCCTCAGCAAAGGAAAAAAAAAAAAAAAAAAAAAATTTAAAATTAAGCTGGGCATGA